AGATACCTTCAGCGACAATTCCTACAAAATTCGGTACTTTTCCGTTTTGCCGGCGCAAGCGATGAAGTCGCCAATAATGGTACAACCGATGCCAAACGGAATATTCTCGCTGGTAACCTTTTACGCCTCATTTTCAAAACAAGTCGCCGCTTTGTCTTATCAGATTGATTGTTTCTTTCAATACTAGCATATAATTACATAGAATTTTTATCAGATAGTTCAGTTTTATGTCTAAGGCCATTTTCGGTAATTAAGTCAATCAGGATGCAATCACAGCGCTTACCCGAAGCCGAAAATATAGAAAAGGTAAAGTCAAGGGTTAAATTCATCAATTCTAATGAGAATGCATTAACGAAGTAAAGCACTGCAGTTTTACATAATTTCTGTGTAAGCTGTTCGTACGAATTGAAATATTTCTTGCATTTAAACTTGTGTTCCAAATTAAGATTTAACTTGAAATTAATGTAGATAATTACTGAGAGCATTAGATTTTTGTAGAGTAGTTTACGTGAGATGAGATCGCTTGGGTTCACGTGATATGAACCGGCGAATCAGGATGTTGAACCATGAAAGCATAGTAAATTCTTAAATTAATGTCTTTTTACAAATTTATTGTCTTTATTTATTGGCTTTTTATAAAATTTTAAGCGATATTAAAATGTTTTTGCCTTCAAAAAAAAAAGAACTTTTAGAACTAACATTTTTTATGTGTATACCGTATGTTGTCGCCAATAAAGTCTGCTTGGCGAGATTTGCGCCGGCGAAACGGAAAAGTACCCAAAATTCTTTTCCCGCGGAATTCATCCGTAAAGAAAAGACTTCCAAGGAGATTGAGGGTTAGATAAAATCTCCTTCACTCTCTAACTATCCAGACTTTTCCAGCAGAGAAAATATTTTAAAAAACTTGGGAAGTTTAGGCGTAATGAAGCGCCAAACATCGATAACAAGATGTTCAAGAAGTTGCCAAGTCGCCAGGAGAGCAATTTATGTCTATTCTAGTATCCCACTGTTTCTCAACTAAGTGCCCTGTGTGACGTTCAAGGGGGGGGCTAAAAGGTTCAAGGTCACGTGAGCGTGTTGGAGATATGAAACAAACTTTTTCCGGTTGGGTACTGAAGTTTGATACTAATGCGATAATTTCATTCTTGTGAACTTTCAATGTGCGTAGATTATCCGTGAATGTTAAAGATCGTTGGTAAGCATTCAGGCTTTTCTCTTAAATTTGAATTCTGTGATTTGCAGTGTATATGTGGTATAACAAATTTTATTTGACTTGAAATTTTGCGTGAAAGTTATTATTAATGATTTGTGATGTAGATCTTGTTTCCGGTATTTAATTTCAACTTTATTCTTCAGTTTATGACGTATTTTTAGAAAATGAAACAGTAATGATGTTCATCGACCTTGTATTTTGTTTATCCGTTGATTTGTAAATAAAATCTGTATGCATAGTTACTTTAGATGTGAAATTGGTTAGTTTTATAGTATTTTAATGAAACAGAGCAAAACAAATGTTTGTTATGATTATTTTATGCCTTTCGCAATATTTCATTTATAAGCGTTACCTTTTATTTTATAATAGCTAAATGAGTTGTTTACCTTTTCAGTAAAGTATTCGTTATATATTTTACAGAAAATATATTTTTGTTGCAAAAAAATTTCTGTATATTTCTCAAAAAGCAGGGAGTCCACCCACAAAATTTCATAGTTTTGGAGCGTGAGATGTGATCAGCCTTTTATTTACCTTTTTAAGTATTTAGTTTTATTTTATGAATGTAAAGGACTATTTTTCTGCAGATTTTTGTATTTATCAACATTTTGACCTTTTTCTTGTTTAATTTATAAAACACATTAAAAGATAATCTAAATATAATTAAATGTCCATACAATTAGCCACAAAAGTCTGCGTACATACTAAATTTTAAATTAAAAAACACTTAAAGCATAGAAAAATGTATTTTAACCATTGCATTTTTTTCTTCCATTAGCTAAAATTGTAAGCTTAAATAAAAAGTAAATAATTTCAGTGTAATACTTTTTTTCAAAAATATATTTTGTCAAAAAAACTCAGAAATTGCCTCCAATAAGTCTGCGTACACTTAAAAAAAAATCAAAATATAAGTTTTTTACATTACTTCAATACTTTGTAGGATATCCTTTATTCTTCAAAACAGCTTGCAGACGTCTGGGCATTGACTGAACTAGTTTTTCAGTGTCATCCGACGTGAATTTCGCCCATTCTTCCTGCAATTTACTAATTAGCTCATTTCGAAACGTAATATTGTATTTTCGAATTCGTTTCTCCAATTTTGCTCACAAATGTTCGATTGGATTGAGGTCTGGTGACTGTGGAGGAGTATGCAACTGTCTTGGAGTGTGATAGAGGAGATATTCCTTCACAATTTTATCTGTATGATTCGGGTCGTTGTCTTGTTGGAAAATAAAGGTATTAGAAAGGTTTAAATTTCGGGCACTGTCTCGTAGATTTTTCTTCAGAATATCCAGATAAATATACTTATCCATGACTTTATCAATAATGTGAAAATTTCCAACTCCTTTCGACGACATACACCCCCATACCATCACACCGCCAGCTCCATATTTGACACATTTGGATTTAAATTTCTCAGATTCAGTTCTGTTCCTGGTTTTCTCCATACATTAGGGGGGACCATTAACTTTAAATATTGTAAATTTACTTTCATCTGACCAAATTACATTGTTCCAGAAGTCCTGCGAAGAGTTTAAATATGTTTTGGCAAAAGCAATTCTTTTCTTTCTATTTGTCTCGGAAATGCATGGCTTAAACCTAGGTTTGCGTCCATGATAATCGGCCTTTCGCAGCACTTTTCGTACGGTTTCAGGAGAAATTTCCATGTTGCAAATTAACAAAATGTCTTTTTCAATGCTTGCAGCAGAAAGTTTAGGATTTTGTTTAATTCGTAAAATAATTTTTCTTTCTTCTCTCTGCGGTAGCTTCTTCGGTCTTGGTTTTACAGCAACACTACCAGTGTCAAGATAGTTTTGAATAACTCTTTGCACACTAGAAAATGGTTTTCCAATGGTTTTACCAATATAACAAAGAGTTTTACTTTCATCTCCAATATGATAATTAGTTGTCTCGTAGCTAAAGGAATTTCTTTATTGGTTGTCATTTTGGTTGATCTTTACAATATGGTAACTGGTAGTTTGGCGACATTTTGGAGGCGATAAAGGTTACTACCTGGGACTTTGGTAATAATGTGAGCAGTACTCAGTTCCGATTACGCATTATTTTGTGTGAGGGAAATGAGAGATCATGGGATATGTCATGTGATATTAATGGACGAATTACGGTTCTTTAATCGGAAAAGGGGGGAAATCGGGAAAAAATCTGGAAATTTTGTATTTGGCTTTATTCTGTGTTGTGTGAAACAGTGTTCGTGAATTTTTGGATCCCATGGCCGTAACTAAAGTGAATTCGAAATGGGTATTTATGTATGTATTAATTAATGTATGTGCGCATTTATATTTTAAGTAGTGGTTTTTGAATTTAATTATATTTTAATTAAATGATAGTTATTTTGTGAATTTTATGTTTGTAGGAATTTGGTATACGTTTTAGTTGAAGTAAACGTGCATGGAAATAATTTAAATATTTGATACTAAGTATTTGTAATGCTTGCGGTATGAATTCGTTGGTGACGTGTATAATGTAACTATCATTTAATTAAAATATAATAATAACTATCATTTAATTAAAATATAGACGATGTATAATGTAATAGATGATTTAGAGGTAAAAGTTTTTGGATATTTTATTTATTTTATATGTGGAAATGTTCATATTTGGAAAGGGTAAATACTTTTTCGCGATCAGGTAATTTCATATATGTTCTTTTTACCGGGTTTAAAGATTGAGAAAATTGTCATGTATTTTCGTGAAATTTTTCTAATTATGAGAAAAAAGCAGTGTACATGGATATAGTGAAGAGTGTGAGCAATGCCATTTTTGTGCAATTCTGGGATGTTTTTTTAAGTAAAAATAAGTCGGCGTGTACATGGTTTATGTGTATGTGTTATTTTGAAAAACGCGTAAGGAGTATGGTATTGTGCACTTTTTCCCAATTTGCAGTGAATATTTGTCATGATTAAGCAGTTTTGTTAGGTAAATTTCTAGCATAAGTGTAATTCGGCTAGTAGATTGTTGGAAGAAGTGTTCAGTAGATAAAAAGAAAAGAAACATGTCTTTACTTCGTGAAGACAAAATGGCGGCGGGAAAAAAAAGTAGAGGGTTGCTGTAGGAGAGTTGGTCGCCAAATTTTCGCCAAAAAAACGCCAAGTTACCATAATGTAAAGATCAACCGTCATTTTCATCAAAGAAAATAAAAATAACAACATCCAATTAACGTAAAATTTGCTTTGGAAGTCAAGGACCTTAAAAGTGTAACCTTTTTTGCATTCTCAAGTTTGAAGTTTAAAAGTTGGATAAGAAATCCCCCGCCTCCTTTGCATTGTACGCACACTTTATTGGCTTTGATTTCTGGCCACTTACCTTTAAAAAATTAGTGTGCATAAATTATTAGATATGAAAATATTACAGTTAAATAATTTCAAAGTCCCTTATTGAAACTAAATATTTAAAAATTAAAACTTTAAGAAACTACTCTTTTCGCACCTTAAAATTTGGATATGATATTACTTTTCTTGATATACGCAGACTTTATTGACTAACTGTATATTTTTCCAGTTTTAAAATGGAGGGGGTGAGATGATCGACTAGCAATAATGAAAGGAGCAAAAGAGGTAGAGAACCTCTGGGTTAGAATTTACTAAATTTTCAGTTGCCTTGAATGCGAGGATGCCAGGTTTTAGAATTCGTTACTGATCTGCTTATTTTTATGTAGACAAAATTTATATTACTGCTATTCATTTCCTTTTTTTTCACCTGATGTTTTTTTAAGAGCTCAGTAGTTTGTTCTTATCGTAGTTTAAATAATATTTTTTATTATCTTTTACAGAAACCCCAGAGATAAGCAATGGCTTCTGCTGCTGAATTTTCAAAGGTAATGAAATTCTTTTGTTCGAACCCAGTTGGCATTAAAAATTGTGCAAGAGAACTTACATGGAAAAATTAATTTTCTGCTATTCATCTCTCTTTTTTTAATATCATATTGCAGAGTGATTTAATATAGTAAGTTATGTAAGACAATAACAAAGTAAACAGAACAAAAAAAAATTGCAAATTTTTGGTAGCTATTTTAATTAATAACATAACAAATTTCATCTATATTATAAGTACTGTGTTTGTTTTAATTTTTTATTAACTTTTTTGAGGGGGTATAAATTAACGAATTATTAGAAATAGGTATAGTAGTTTATACTTCAGTACAAACTATGTGAGAAAGTGCACAATCGCTTGCCCACTGCTTGGCGCGTTTTTAAGAATTGCACTTACTCTGTATCCATTTGCACATCGACCTATTTTCACTTCAAAAAACATTCCAGAATTGCACAAAAATAGCTTTGCGCACTCTTTTGATTTTATCCATGTACACATCGACCTATTTTCACTTAAAAAGTCAAAGAAAATTAACAAAAATCCAGTTCTTACTTTGTAAAAAGTGCTAAACAAACGCCAAATAAGTGGGTGATTCTGCATTTTAGCCCAAACTATGTAGTTTAGTACTTCACAACTAATTTTTGGAACTACTTTCATTTAAGAACACTGGTGGATTATATTTGTTTTTTAGATTTTGAGCTTTTGTAGATTATGTTGCTTCTCGCCTTTTGATATACATAATGTTTAACTGTGAGTGACATTCTTAGTGTTTGTGCTTAGAATGTTATAATAAGAATTTATGGTAATTTTAATAGCAGCTTCCAAAATTTAATTGCTGATCAACCAAGATGTAACATCTCGAGAGGTATAAGAATACGTGGCAATGTTTTGGTGTTGGAAGCCGCTAAAATAAGGAAGTACCGAATTTGCTTGTATTAATGAACAAAAATCTGTTGCTGGCTTGCAAGTTCAGATTCTTGTGGCCTTTTTTATGCTCTTCAAGTCTTTGATTTATCCTTCTGATAAATCATTTATGTCTATTCATAATTTGCAAAATTGTTTGAAACATTAATTAGTTAATCTTTGGATTATGGTAACTTCACGATTTTTTGGCAGAAATTTGGCAACCAATCCTGCTACAGCAACCTGCTAGTTTTGTTTTTGGATGCCATTTTGTTTTCACGAAGTAAAGGCCTTTTTTTTACTCAACATTTTTTCCAACAATCTGCTAGCTGAATTATGCTTATACTAGAACTTTTATGGAACAAAAATGCTTGATCATGATGAAGATTAGGTGCGAAATTAGGAGAAAGTGCAGAATCACAAACTGCTTGCCACGTTTTTAAGAATTGCACATACACGGTATCATCCATGTACACATCGACCTATTTTCACTTAAAAAAACATCCCAGAGTTGCACAAAAAGGGCATTGCACACACTCTTGACTTTATCCATGTACAGTACTCAAGTCCTAGCTAGTAACTTTTATCGCCTTACCAAAATGTCACCAAACTACCTGTTACCATATTCCAAAGATTAGCTCATTAATTTAGATAAGTGTAAAACTATGTAATCGTCCTTCACATGTACCTTGTTAAGTAATTTCAAATAATCATGGGCCAACTATTAATTTTACTAAATTGCTATTAGTATCTTGCTGCATTTGTGATGAGTCTTTGTTTATGTAGTTGTATATGTGTTAGAAATGTTATTATTATACTTGCATATTTTTGCACGTGAAATTAGTAAAGTTTATATCGTAATGAAATACATAATACCTTCGTTTAATTATTAGATATATAGCACTTTCAGTTTTTGATACAAGACCCTTATTTGTTATTACCCTTATTTTACCCTTATTTTGTTTGCTTAGGCAATTCACAGTGCTTTTCTTCAGAAGAAATTGAAAACTGCTTGTGATTGAGATAAAAACTGAACATGCTTTTTTCAGAATGATGAGAAAAAATTATATTTTAAAAAAAGGGTGGCTTGTAAGTAGAACTTGTGTGCTCTGCCACCCAACCAGTATAGTGGTTAACTTCGCCGACTGCCATGCCAAAGGCCCGGGGTTCAAATCCCAGAGAAGGCATAGATATTTGTAAATGTGTAATGTCCATGTGGCATGGGGGCAGTCTAAATATGCCCAAGCCGAAAGTCCTCTCAAGAAATTGGTGGTGGACAGTGGCGTAGCTAGGGTGGGGCAAGAAGGGACATCTGTCCCCGGGCGCAGCATTCAGGGGGCGCCAAATTGATGCTACGAAATTTTTTAATGAAATGTTTTGCATTCTTTGCACACAGAAAGAGGTGCTAATTCTTCAGTTGTCCCTGGGCGCTGGAATCCTAGCTACGCCACTGGTGGTGGAGGAAGATGGGTGAGAGACCCTCGGACCCCATCCCACCAAGGTGGTTTCCATCAAAATTGGGGGTGGAACTGAACTAAATCACACTGTCACCTGTAAGGTGCTCAAGGCTGTTGCCAATGACAGACATAAACTTGAGCTTCTTGCTGCGAGGAATTTTGAGGGCTTGTATTGAGATCAGACGAGTGAGCATTAGCAACAACAGCCTGTGTGCTCTGATGCTGGACATGATAGAAGTTAATTCACAGATGTGAAAATTGTATTATATTCACATTTGTGAATTAATTGCATCTATATTAGTTTTACAAGGACTGATTTTTGAAAAAGCTGTTGAAATTGTTAATGGCAAAGAAAGTGCAACTGAATTGGTCAGTTGAAAAGAAAAGGAGCTTTTTATTTGAACTTTCTTTAAAAAGTCACAGCTATGCATGGTATTTATTTTGCATCTGTGCATTCAAAGTAATTTTTAAAAGTGTTTATGATATATTGTTGTATTGTCTTCCTTGTATTTCATTAGTCTGAAGTATATCAATGTTAATTAGCTATTTTTCCATATATCTATTTAGAACTTAGTTATCCATTATGACCATATACAGGTTATGTGGTGCATTAAAGGATGTGCCATATGGATTTAATTGACAGGATAGTCAGTATATTTAAATATACAGAAAAAGAAGCAACGAATTAAAAAAAAAAAAAAAAAATGAGGAATTTTTCTCTGCAGAATTTAGGTTATGTGGTCCATTAAAGGATGTGCCATATGAATTTGGTTGACAGGATAGTCAGTATATTTAAATATACAGAAAAAGAAGCAACGAATAAAAAAAATTGAGGAATCTTTCTCTGCAGAATTTGCTTTTATTAATTTTTTGAGTTTAATGCTAAAAATTGAAAATCATTCCTAAATAATCAACAACTTCAGCAGCAAGCTGATGCTTTTGAAAGTTTCTGTGGTACTTACGTATTATCGCAACCAGGTTGACGCTATTTGTAAGTTTGAGTAAAAAAGTATGAATAGAAAGAAAATGTTCATTTATTAATTGCAGATAATTTTTATACAGTTTTTTATATTATTTTCTTTTAAAATATAAAATAGCAATTAAACCCTTCTGGTTTCGAATTTGAATAAGTTGCAGAATTATTTTTTCGGCGGAAATCTTTTGGCTATTGCTTTTAGCACTGATTAAAAACCGTATTCGCCATAACCATGTACACGTCGACTTATTTTTACTTAAAAAAATATCCCAGAATTGAACTCTTCACTTTATCCATGTACACTGCTATTTTCTCATAAACAAAAATTTGCACGAAAATGCAGGAAAATTTTGTGAATCTCCACATGCTCTTTTTACAAAACTACGTATAACATAAATATCTTTTTACAAAACTACGTAGGGTTGCCGTAAGTAGGGTCGCCAAATTTTGCAATTTATGCAAATTTTGACCTGGTTGCGATAATACGTAAGTACCGTTTCTGTTTTTGTTATAAAGTCAAAACTATTTAAACGAACTTAAAAATGTGTATCCTGATTTTTTAAATATTAAAATCAGTGTCACAATATAATTGAAATTAATCTTTCATGTTAGAGCTTTTTTTTTTTCCTTCATCTCTCAATTTTTCTGTTTATAATGTTGTAGGTGGTACAGAAAGCACATAATGCCTTTAAGAGTGGAGTTACAAAAAATGTGTCTTTTCGAATACAGCAGCTGAAAAACTTTTACAGATTATGTGCTGAAAATGAACAAAAACTTGTTAAAGCTGTGAGCCAGGATATAGGAAAGGTGATTATTATTATTATTATTATTATTTTTTACCATATATATTTTTAAAATCTCTGAAATGTTAAATTGCTTTTTTATTGTGTAATTTTTATACCTTAAAAAAGTGTGCTTTAAAGTTCTGATTATCTACAGCCTATTCAGCATTTTTGCTTTTTTTAGCTATATTTTAGCAATTTAAAGATCAAGACCATGTTCATTATGATTTTTTTACATTAGAGAGATCAGCCACTTTGAGTTTTTACCTCTCATGACAAACATAACTCTAAATTTTATGTAAAAGTCCTCAAAAGACTGAAAGCAGGAATCTGGTGTGTCAGACCAGACATTAGCACCAACTGGAAATTGCATGATGACAATTTGGCAGCCCACAGTGCCCTTGTAGTAACTAACTACCAAGCCAAATCTAACATGGCAATGCCCCTCCAACCGCCTTACAGTACCGACTAGGCTCTCTCAGACTTCTTTTTGTTTGCCCATTTGAAATCTCCCCTGAAAGGATATTGTTATATAATGATTGATGACCTCAAAGCACCTTGTCCAAAAAGCTTTAAACACACTTCTTGAACAGACTTTTGCAGCTTGGAAATCTGACTGGTAAAGTCATATTTACATGAATGTTTATATAAATGTCACTTGTACACTTGCTGACATTATTTTACAAACAGATCTTGTAGTCAGTGCAGGATTTACGTATAAGCTATAGCTTAAGCCCCCCGCTTTCTTGGGGGCCCAAAAAAATTCTCTAGGTAACTTAAAATCATATTTGGCATTGATATATAATATCTGGACTTATAAATGGCCCCTTATCTGAAATATCGGACCGTATCAAGTCTAAATATAGTTTTATTATAACAGTCAAAATAATATTGACTAATTTATTAAAAATGAAATGACTTAATAATTGTGTAAAAGTTAGAATTCCTTTTTGTTATCAGGTACTTGTATATATAGAAATATTGGTACTTTTTTGTTATGCACCCGTTTACATGCACACATAGGCCACCAATGGTGCTATCATTGAGTCTCTGCATGGCTTCTGTTTCAAAGGGACCAAAAAGGCGTGAAGGTGCAAAACGGAAAAGTACTGACATATCTTCATTCATTGTCAAATCTGAAACAGAGGAGTGATTTAGTACTAGAACTCTCAGTTATTCATGATCATTGTTTAAAGTTCATAGAAATAGGTATATAATTATTATCTTGAAAATACTTGTTGATAATACTGGATTAAACATATTTCTTAATAATTTGATGTGAAGTTTAAAATTTCTATGAATGCTTTCATATAATTTTTTAAAGCAAGATATTTTATCTGATTAAAAGAAAAATGTGCTAATATAAAATTTTAAATATGCCCAAAAAAGGGGGAGAGAAAGAAAAAAATCTTAAATTGACATAGATTTTGAGTGATACTCAAAGTTGAGTTTTCTCTTAGTGTGCCAGTCTAAGGATGCTTTTATTACTTACTTTAAAAAGAGTATTTTGAAAAACATTGTACTGTATTATCTTTTTGAAATATCAGTGATTTGGACGTATTGCTTATTTAGCAAGTATTTTCACATCTAAATATTCATACCACTAGAAATTTTGTTACTTTTCTGTTTTGGGGACTGGATTCAGAAATGTATGCATGTATGGATGCATGTGTTCATGTATATATGTATATATTAATGTATGTGTGTACGCATACATATAATGCACATACACACAATGCATACATACGGAATGTGGTTCTGATAACAGAAGAGTATTGAATTTTTTACTCATTTGTGATGAAGAAAGTAGCATCTGTTAGTTAATTAAAATAAGTCATCTGCAAATCATTTTCATTTGCTTATTATGAATTTTTTTCATTGTTACTGCTGTTCATGAAACTAGAAATTTCTTTTAATATTAATATGTTGATTATTAAAGACTGTGTGGTCTTAATTGTATTTTGAAGTTTTAAGTAATTTAAACTAAATTGTAGTTTTTGTTGTTAGCCAAACCAAGAAGCTGTCTTATATGAAGTAGAATTCCTTATGAATGATATACGATGTATGCAACAAAATATCCGTAAATGGATTAAACCTGAACCAGTAAGTATTGAATAGTTCTTTATTGATCATTTATTTATTATAAAGATGTATGATCTATATGTTATATCTGAATTTATAATAGTAAAATTTAATCTTAATCATATTTTGGCAAAATTCGACATAGTAGTTTGTGTATTAATATTTTGGGTATGTTTAGGAGAAATTCACATAGGTAGCTTTAATGGCAGTTATTCGTGAAAGGAATTTTTTGAATTCTAGAAATATTTCATCATATTTATGTCTGGTGAATTATATAAGCTTGCTAAATCATTATGTCTTTATTTGTCATATTTGGTAATGCTGGATGACTAGTTCAAATACACTGCTGGCCATTAAAATTGCAACACAATGAAGTAAAGCAAATACAAAAATGATATTTATTGCATGTAAACAATATGGCATGAAGACAAAATAATTAAATTTGTAAGCATTTTTTGAGGTTTACAGGGCTGAGAAATTAGTAGAAACAGCTGCCATCCCTATCAGCTAAAACGGCCCTTACCCCATTAGGCATAAAATCAAACTGGGATTGAATGGCAGAAATGGGCAACTCATTCCATGCTGCTTCAAGTCTATGCCACGCTTCATCAACCCTATCAGTTGGAGAGGGGTGGCGGGCTAGTCTCTCAGCGACCCATGACCAGATGTTTTCAATGAGTGACATATCTGGAGACCATGCAGGCCAAGGCAGCGACGAATACCCTGTGTATCTGTGTATCTAGGAACATCAGAACATGACATGCAACATGTGATGTTGCATTATTTTGTTGGGACATGGCGTTTGGGAATGTTGAAGATAAGGCACAACCATTGGACATAACATGTCAGAAATGTACCTTCGTTCAAATTACTGTCGATGCAAACTAGAGACATGCATGTCATGTACCCAATGACTGCCCAAAACATCACACCAGGTGCAGAGCCCCTATGCCGATATCAAATGCAAGCAGACAACGTGCGGTTTCCTCCACACACGTATGCGGCCATCAAAATATGCACGTAGAACTGGGACTCGTTTGAAAAGGTGACATTGTGCCACTCCTGTACCCAGCTTTTATCGTCTGGCGCATCAGAGTCACCATCTCTCCCTATGCTGCATTGTCAAGTGAAGCCGAAGTAATGGTCACGCTGCTGCAAACATCAACACACCTTGTGAGCTGATACTGGCCGTGCTGTAAGCATGCCTATTTCCTGACTAATGCTCTGGGATGTGGGTCGTATGATTTTGCAGGGCTGACCTCACAATCTGTCCTCTCTGGCATTAGTCATGGGAGGACATTGAAATCCTACATGCCATTCAGTATGACCTTCAGCAATCCATTGATTCCATATTGGCATGACAGTGGTTGGATGTGACTGGCAGTATCATGGAACGATAATCTAAACTTTCGATTGGCAACAATCCTGCCTCTATTGAATTTCGGAACTTCCTGGTAAACATTTTCTCTTCTTATTTGAGGCATAACACGATATTATGAGCAAACTCCAACCTTACAAAGCACTTTCCAAATGAGAAATTCACTCTGCAATTTTTCTTTTATGCAGTGCTACAGATGTCGTTCCTCCCTCCTGTGTCATCTAAATGCTCTGAAATGCTAATTATTTGCATATGCCAACCTCTTCTTCCTTTCATGTGATTTTGAGGTTCGTCAGATCATTCCTTCCTGGTGTTGCAATTTTAATGGCCAGCAGTGTAGGTTGTTTTGTTGCTCATGGTGATATCTAGTAATTTAACACGTTGTGAATGAGGAGAGGCTTTAAAAATCCAAAGAATAATTATCTTTGCTTGTTTGAGGTGCTGCATGATCCTGTTGGAAAAGATTTGCATTTCCTAATTGCTATATTGATGTTAAAAAGTGAAGATAACAATAAATAAAATGCTTATTTAAGAATTCTCCAAATGTATTGGTGTTGTTGAATGGCAATAGTTATACACAGAATTACCGCATTTCCACCACCCTCCATAATATTGATTTTATATCATAGGTCCATTGCTTTGACAGATTTTTACATTAATTTTACTCTGTCATGAGCTTGGCTGGGAACAGTTTATTTGTCTAAGCTGTGTCTATTTAAACAGCATTGCTCTTGAAAGTACCGAGCCCAAACTGGATGCATATGAGCCTAAAAGAAGTAATAAACAAATAACCGTGTTGCTTGAATGCATTTATGGGTTTATAAAATCAAATAGAATGTCAATCTTTAAGTACTTCATGTACTGATATTGTTGCATTTATATATGTTACCGGCAAAGTATTAAACACTGCCATTTTATAGAATGCCTAGACATTGTATACAATGCCGGACAATTTTAGGCAAAGTATGAAATATAAGAATTATTACGTACTTTCCCTAGGCATTGTATATAATACCTAGGCATTCTATAGAATGACAAATGCTCTTTAGGCAAAGTATGGAAAAAGGTTATGATAGATATGGGTATTATTTAAAAGTTGTTCATTCCTCAGAAATACAAATGTTATTTTGGAAAATTAATTAAAGTGTGCCATTAAGAAATTGTTATTTGAAATATGAAAAAAGAAAAGATGGTGAAATTATCTTGATACAACATAATTTGTATTTTCTGTCTCTGTCTGGCCGGGGCTGGGAATCGGCAAGATCTACCTGACTACGGAAATTAAATTCAGAAACTATCATAAGTTTCACAACAATGCCCTTTTTAACACCTTCTTGTTTTTTGTTTCTGACAGGGCTCACAAAGGTGGTCAGTTCAATAGCATTACGTGTAGCATTTTTGTATTTGATTGAAAGCTCTTTCAACATTCTGTCACGTCATCCAGTACTTAAATGTGTTTTCATGAAGTATGAGAAATAATTCGCCGTCCATGGCGTAATACTGTATAGTACTGACGCATTCTTTAACAGGATAAATGAATGTACTTCTGTTTTCCAAGAACATCCCATCCTAGCAATTCAGCAGCCACCTGTTCCATGGTTCCTTCTTAGTAGTCATTTTGGCTTTTCTACATCACTGATTAACTTCTAGCAAGTATAATTCGACTGTATCAAGCACAACCTTGGTCGGCATTCTGCCGAAACATATAGACTCGTCCAAAAGGGGAGTTATTACTTGCTGCGACGTGAAGGGTCTTCTTCTCGTCTCCGGAAAGAGCTATGATGGAAATAAAGAAAGTCCCCATCCTTCCACCCCATTTTGAGAATAATTCGGTCCGAATGGCGCATGTGTGTTTGCACTCATGGTCGCAGATGAAGTGGTTGAAGTATAGTTTGGTTCTTCGAAAACGAATTGGAAATGTATTTCATACTTTGCTGGTTTGTCATTTGGCATTCTATAGAATGCTTAGGAAATGTGTGAAATATGAATCGTTTCATGCATTGCTGGCTAGTTTTAGGCCTTATATACAAAGCCTAGGCATTCTATATAAAGTCAAAAGTCTTTAATCCGGACTCATCGGGACTTCGACGATTCCGGATTATCGATTTTTCCGGATTATAGATCATCAGTTTAAATCTGGTAAGATGGCATGCAGAAATTATAAAATTAAAAATATGAAACTGTAATTTATAAAATAATGAGCAATTATGATATAAAGAGTATCAAAATTTACAAAAAAAGAAGCTTAATATTTATTTGTTTACTTTATTAAACATTTCTTTCAACGCGCGCCATGCGTAATAAAGCATACCTTACACATAGCCCAAATTAGAAAATTGCAACCAGAAAACTATTTGATTTGTATTCGTGATATTTATAATGACGAGGAATTTGATTTGAAATCATATCAAAGACGGAGTACATCGAGATTAAATACTACATTTAGTAAGGAATTATAAGCCGAAATAAAATAAAAACATCTGCCCTGAAGATAACGATAGTGCTGACAGATCAACTTCCAGTTCATTGTGCGCGGCAACGTCCCCACCCCCCTGCGCAGAGCAGCGTGAAATTGATAAACAGATTTCCGAACGGTTAGATAAACAAAGGATATGGCTTTATCCATTTTTTGTAGCAATTTCGTTTTTTGTTTGATGGACATCGAAACATACTTTCGTTTTCTAGATCCTTTGGGAGCTCCAGCATCGGAAATTCTATTTGACATAATTGAAAATTCAAGCTTACTTTTCTAAAATTGCACTTACAGTCTGCAAAAAATATAAGCCGGATCCAATTCGAAGATTAAGGAACAACGCAATCATCAACATTAACTGAAATAGATAATTAGAGCTTATACCGTCCGTTATAACATTAAACGCGCATTGCGTAAACGTAAATTATGCGCATGCGTAGATGCATATGCGCTTGCGTTAACGCATTAAGCATTGATGCATGCGCAGAAAGATTTTAGCTTTGAGGTCCGGATTATGGGTGGGCGCATGTGCAGAAAGATTTTAGCTTTGAGGTCCAGATTATGGGTGTCCCAATTAACGACTTTTGACTGTAATGCCTAAAGCTATTTCAAACTTTGCCAGTAATGTTTGCATATCTAGTATTGTTATTGATGCTAAAGCAAAGTTTAAAGTTTAAAGATATTAAACATTTAGCAGTATTAGCAATGAAAGCTCTCTGAGTTATGCTGTGCAGACATTGAAGACAAGTAAAAGATTTTGAACTTAACCAATTTATTAACAATATAATAAAAACAAATAAAAAAACATAAATAAATTTCAACAATATTAGAGTAATAGGCAAAACATAACATATCATCATCATCATCAAATATTTTTACCTGTACTCCAAAAATACTGGCATTCTACACAAACAAATTTCATAAAAAAAATGAAAACGTCCTAAATAGTGACCATGCCGCCTAAAAATAAGCAGGCTACCTATTCCATAAGTCCATAATCAATGGTCAAGAAAACACCTGAAAAATTTAAATGTGAAACCACTTAAAACCGGCCTAACGCCGTGTTTGCACACAAGAAATCGTTGCCGCTCACATATTTTTTAATTCCACCCTCCTTGAAGAAACACGGACGCTGCCTACGGCAGTCACTCACAGGACAGCCCCCGGAAA